CCCCTTTTTAAATTATTTATTAGCACCTAGAACCCCAGGATTGTCGTTTTTAGAAAGATAAATTGCAGGTAACACCCCTCTACTCATGAATCAAGTGTGGGCTACATGCTAATAAACAAGTCGAGGGCAATTATTGGCTATTGAGGGTATAAACGAGGGGGTAATCTGAAATTTACTCTTTTGAACATAAAATTGGTGAAATATAGATCACCTTAACATATTATAATATTCCATAGAAAGCTTCCATATCAACTTTTTTTTTCTGGGGGGAGAGGGAGGAAGGAGAGTTGGGGGATCCGAATTCAAATTTGATTAATTAGTTACAACCAAAAATAAAACATCAAGTAAAAAAAGAAAATTTTGGTCAGCCTTTTACCGATCTTAGAATAGCAAGCAAGATCCAACTTCGGCTAATGTACACTAACAAATAAGCACAATTTAATCCTCTCTAAATGTGCATAATATCTTATCTACTTTCATGTGTTTTGTTCTTAAATTTTCTTTTAGGAAAAGCTAACAGAATTTGGGAGACAGGTGGAAAAATATGTTACCAGTAACTCCCCATATGATTTTCTATAGAGGGCACTCCATATGATTCTCTTCTGCCCGTATCTGGGACAATGAGATATGCAAATCAGCACAAGGGACATCAGGCTGAACAATCAAAAGGCTCCTACAGAGGCGAAATTCCTGAGGTGAAGAAGAGTACGTCCCTCCACCACCTCCCCCTAACCTCGTCATGTCAGTTCATACATTATGTACTATCTTGACAATGACCCACTACCAAGGACAGGATATGGATCAGATACCACTCACCAAACCAAAAATTACAAAACTTTGAAAGAGAATGATGATCTAAGATAACTGAAGGAAATTATGTAAGAGTTGTCTGAAATAATGGAAAATAGAATCATGACCTAACCTTAATGGAAGAATTTATGCAAGTGCTACCAAAGATAACCAAACTGATCGGATCAGTGCAGCATAAAAAATTAACACGAGAGACAGGATTTTTTTCATACAGTTTTGTTTTCAATTGAGACCCCTAAATCCAACTCCCGCTGATAATAAGGACCAATGAAACTAATCTGCTCAAAAGCTGCATAATATCCTATTCAATGGATAAACAGCCTAATACTCTGCAGGTTATTCCCTCTTGGTGACATTTACTCATTTCATTAAATGTTTTAAAATGTTAAGTCTTAGATCTTGAGATAACCTTAACATATCATCTCTATTTTAAGTCTTTGATCTTGAGATAACCTTAACATAAATTTTTAAGTCTTTGATCTTGAGATACTTTGACTTAAAATTTTAAGTCTTTGATCTTGAGATAACCTTAACATATCATCTCTATTTCATAATCTTACAATAGAAAGATAGTCAAAGTATCTAGCGCTACCGAATCCACTCTAATCCAGAATTTGTAGTAGATACGAATGATAAGTAATCTGACCTAATCCATACCAATTTCTCAGAATTTTTGAAAGAATTGCTTCAATCAATAAAAAAAAAACTGAAGAATCTTTAAAGATTAGAACACGGGAAAAAAACCTTCAGTCAGATTAAATAATTGTCTACCCAAAAACAAAATTAAAAATGTTTCTGCCCCACTTTTCCATCAACCTTTCAGGAGAAAGAACTACTAAATATCTTAAACTATTGAAGCAAGGTTCTATTCTCACAGTTGTTCTCCAATAAGGTTAAAGGAGGAAATTCATCTTGTTGTCAAAGCAATAATATAAAAAAATTGTTAAAACAACCAAGGAATTCATATCAGTCAAATAACTGGAACTTACGGCGACAAAGTTTCCCATCCTATTTAGTAGTACTCCTCCCCAAACAATGCAAATGCACCAATTTCTTCCATACAATCTCATCGTCATCTCCCGATAAGTCCAAACCAATGAATTACCCAAGACTATGAAGCCATATCTTTAGATAAGATGCCATATCAATCTCAAAGATCGAAAATCACCCAATTCCTCTCACAAAATAATGTTTTCTTCTACCACTTTCTCACTAAACTTCTACTGCACCCAAACAATATATAACCTAACTTACCTAACTCAACCTCTCCTTAAAATATGCAAATAAACCTCTCAAGATCTCTCAACAAACGAACTTTTAATCCTATTAAACAATTCAAAGATCCAAAAACTAGACTTTTTTCCGCTCCCCACCAACCATCAACATATATTAAAGCTCAAATATCAAAAACTATCAATACCCAATCTTTCATTTAATATCAAACCAAAAATCCTAACAAAAATCTACAAATATACCAAGATATAATCAAAGAAACAAATAGAGGTAGGAAAAGATCGCACCTCTTACCAGCCAGATTGGATCAGACACTTCACGATAAGTAATGTCGCCTTATTAGATTCAAGAAAATAACAAAGAACAAAATTTATGCGGTATGAAAGTATTAGGAAAAAAAAAAAGGAAAATAATTGGGGGAAAAAGATTGGAGTGAAAATTTGAGGTTGAGATGAGGAGAGAGAGATGGCGGTGGGTATTTATAAGTGAAAAGGGAGCGGAGGCGCGTTCAGCGCAGAGCCCTAACCACAGAGGGATTTCAGCTGGGTCCCACCAACAACCCTTATGGCAAATAGAAATATTTTCATTATTGTTATTATTGTTATTATTATTATTTGCATAATGAAAATCTTTGTCCTGATTCGTAAAGTATTGTTTTTGAGAAAGAGAACTATATCTGGCGAACTTTGTTATTTTCCTTCTCCTATTTAAGGTCATAATTCTAAATATAGGAAAAAACTGTAATTTTAAATGAAGAGATAAAAAGAAAAAAGACACCTAATTCTTATGCAATAAATTGGATGGGATCTATCTTTAACCTCGGTACAGCCCCTCCATTAAATAAGTAGTTAGAGCCAACTTATGCTAGCTATTGCTGGGTTTATATTATGACTAAATTAAGCAATTATGTTGAACAAATTTAATTAAGGCTATGAAAGCTCGTAAACGTTTAAAAGAGCTCCTATCTTGTCTTTTGTTTATTCTACTTCAATAAAAAATTTAGTGGAATTAAAATTTTGTTTTATCACATCATTGCACGTTAGTGAGATTTAACAGAAGTTTGTAGGTAACGTTGTGAACTTTAATTATTAACTTCCAAATTTAAAAGAACTAGATGAAATTTGGCCGGTACATAAAGGAGCTCTATGAAGTTTTGCTTAATTGAATAACTATCTCATGCTTGGGATTGGGTCTCTATTCTGCCAAATGTTTGTTTGCCTCGTAGCTTGCAATTTCGGCCTTTACGAAGACGCAGACAAAAGGCCTTTATTATTGCGTTATTAGGGTTTCGTTTGGAACCACAGTGTTTTCTTTATTGTGTTTTTATAAAAAAACATCGTGGTGTTGCGTTTTTTCCTTAAAATATTTTTAAAACACCATATTAAGTATTTATGGTCAACGCTAGTTTGACCATTATAATATTAATATTAAACATAATATTAATATATTATAAATTAATTATAATAAAATATATTATAAATAAAATGTTATAATATTTAGTTTACATTATTATAGTATTAGAAGTACTAAATATAATGAAATATAAGAATTGTATAAGTATTATAATATTATATTAACTGATAACATCGTGAGTGTATACATTATAATTAGTAATGTATTATGATATTATTTTCAAATAATTATATATTTAATTATTTTGGTATATTATTTTTTATTGTTATATATTGATTAATACTTGTTTATAATAGATGTTATTTATTATTAATAAATTATAATATATAAATATAATAATTATATTATATATACGGTTTATTCCATATAAAACAATTATTATTAATATGTTAATATATGTTATTACTAATTATATATAATAATATTAATGATCATTTATATTAATATTATGTACTATATCTATGTCTTTAATGATAGAGTTCTATAAAATAATGTTAATAATATATTAATTAACTTATGATATAAATAAATAATTATTAATATTACGAATATTATTTTTATATTAAATTTGTTAGCAAAAATTATTCTTTATTATATAATATATTAATATTTTATATATTATAATTATATTTACTATACATATATTATTATAAAATATTATTATTTATATTTTATTTTTAAATATTTTAATATTATATAATATTTTATAATTATTAATTTATTATAGTTTATTTATTAAAAAGTTAATAATATTAATATAGCGATTATACTATTGTGTAGTATATTATTATATCATTATTATATTATTATTTATTATCAATAACTTTTTATTATTTTTATTAGTTTATTTATATTTTATTATTATTTATTATTATTTATTATTATATAATACATTGTTAACATATTAAATAATAGTATTTAATATGTTATTATATTGTTATATAAGATATTTTATGTATTATATTTTTATATTGTTTAATAAATATTACTAATATATTAGATTAACTATAGTATAGTATACTATATTATAGTATAGTATAATTAGCATGTTGATAATAACTCTATATTAATTACATTTAATATATTATGTTAGATATTATATTAACAAATTCTCAAACACAAAACCAAAACATCAAAGTTAAAACCCATTTTAGGTGTTTTAAAATAAGTATTGTGTTTTTAGTTTGAGGATGATTTAACTCAAAAAAAATTATGGTTTACAAACGCATAATGTTTTGTTTTTGGCAAAAACATCATGGAAACAAGTAAAACATCACGATATCCAAACGGAGCCTAACTTATTACCCTTATATTTGTTCCTATAGAACTAACGGTACAGAATGGAATGAACCAAATAATTAATAAAATATTTGATTATTATTCGTCTAGATATTTAATCATGTTCGATTCCGTAGTTTATTTAATAATGAATAAATAGTTTTTTAGTATTTGACTCATAAACAAATTGAATTTAATCAGAGGTATACTTGATTCGATTGATTAAATATTTGTTTATGCTTTATTCCTCTAAATTTAATTTATCATAAACTATTTATCCTTTAAAGTGACATTTGAGATATTCATCATGCCAACATATATCTTAACAAAATACTTATAAGAAATAATTATATTCTAATTTTAATTAAATTTTAATTCTTAAGTTGCTAAAACAACTTTGCTAGAAAATGTATTTATATAGACTTCAAATATATAATGAGATGAGATGGTGCTCTACTTTTTACATTATGTGCATTAAACTAACTTTTTATATTATATAACATTATAAATATTACTATTACTATTGATATATGTATAAATTTATAACTAAATATATAAATTTAATAATTTTAGTTGTGAAATATCATAATAATCATCATCTAGTTATGCAAAATGTAAAAAGAAAACATAACAAATAATTTACCAACATAACTCAACTAAGTGTGCTAACAAGTATCTATGAATACTTACTGAATAATGGTTAAATTAAACAAATCGAATTTGAATGTCTCTGATCTATTTAACACGGATACGAGTTCAAATTTGATAGAGCCGAATTCGAATTCGGATGTAAATGTATTCGATCAAATTCGATTCATTTCCACCCTTACTAGACGGTGTCGGGGTACTCTAATGGTGTGTTTGGGAGTTTACTTAGGAAAGGGAAGGAAGGGGAAGGAAGGAGGGAAATTCCCCTTCCTTTCCTTCCCCTCCATTACACTCCAATTTGGAGTGTAAGAATTTGGACCAAATTTTTCCTCCATTCCCCTACTCTATCCTCCTAAATGATACTCCCAAACAATATTAAAATAAAATTTCCCTTCCCTTCCCCCTCTCTACCTGTTAGACCCTAGAGGGGGATGATTAAAGTCTTATGCTAATCTAATCCGATTTTATGCCAATTAAAATTAATAATAAATTATTCTTGCAAGAGAGATATACAATATGTTACAAGCAAGAATAAGCAATATGAACAAAGAGCAATATCCTAGCAATGAGATATACTATGAGATATATGCAAGGATATATAATTAACACAAGGGTAAACAATCTAAACTAGATAGTGGGCAATATAATCAACAAGCAATATACAAAGGCGATATAAGATATAAAATCAAGTGCGCCAATGCAATCACAAACAAACGATATGATTACGGAGTTCGGTCCCCACGACTACGACTCCTCTCCTCACCTCGAGGAGATCTCCACTATCACAACCTGGTTTTCTACATTTACCCGAACAACGTTTACACCGCACAATATGGTTTTCTAGTTTACCAAAAACTCTACAACTAATACACTCTTGTAATCCCACTCTACACTCTCTTAAGTGTTGAACTAGACGTGTCTCCCTCAAGTACTCGGATACAACATCTCCCTAGGTTCATCAACCGACGCCACTCCTCTTGGACGATCCCCGACTCTCGCCACACACTTCTCTCGGTGTACAAGTATATTACAAAGTGATCCTCACAATAAGCACAAGTACAATAAATGATTATCCTCTAATATGGATGAGAACACAATGAAAGCTCACACTCAATTTTTACAACCCCACAACCCAAATTATACTATAAATGTAAATACAATAAGCTCAATGTGGGTGAGTGTAACAATGCGATATAAATCAAAACTAAACTCAAATAACAAACTAGCAATAATAAGAATATGAAAATCAATAATAATATTGCTAGAGAAAAGAGTTAGAAAACTTTTCTATAAACACAAAGAGAGGATGAGAAGATATTGAAGATGAACTCCTCAACAGATGATGCAAGCTCCTCTTTGTAAAAGCAAACCCCAAAAAAACAAACTAAACAAACTGTAAAACCCTCTTAAACTTGTTTGAAACTTTCTCTAATTGTTTTCGGTAGAAGAGGGGTTGAGGGGCTTTTATAGGAAGAGAAACCAACAGCCAACACCCCAAACAAAGCAACAAAAATCCCAAAAAATAAGGAATACGATTATGTACCAAAAATAGCCGTTGGACTATCGACGATCAACCGCGAGGCACGTTTGAACCTCAGAAAATTTACAGAGAGTTCGGCGGTCGACTGTGGGAATTTTTAGCTTGGCGGTCGATCGTGAAAGTTTCTGCTGCATCCTGAGGGAAAAACAAAGGCGCGGTCGACCGTGACGGTCGACCGCAAACTGATACAAAATATTTCAGGTTTGAAAATGAAATGCTGATTTTAAAATCCTGTTTAAAAATATCAAATAAATTCCAAAAATTATGAAACTTTGAGAAATAATTGTAGGCATGATAATAAACATGCTACAAAAACTGGTTTTCAAAAAGGACTTCCCAAATGAAAAATATCACTATTTTGCAAAATAGTCCAAAACATGAAAATATGAACATATGAGTTTTGACATTTTAGCTTAACCATGTTTTAAAACATTACAAAATGATTTTATAGACTTAAAGAAAGATGTAAGCTATTGTTATGAAGTCTATAAATAATGAATATAGTATTTTATCAAAATACACATATAATGCACTAAAACATGATTTTATTGAACTAAATAAAATTGATATTTATGAAATCATATATATGCGTA